ATACGCAAGATGACTCTGTTTGGCTTACTTGTCTTGTGAAACGTATAAAGAAACAAACATTGTTTAATAATATATGGAATGATCCGAACTATTACTTTAATTATTGTAGCTGTATGTACCTATGAGATATTATCATATCTAACAGGGGCAGGCCAAGACCATAAAACACTTACTTCTTACTTCCGAGGTGTCGGGTGTCCTCGCCACAATCGTTTGATCGGGGAGTCATCTACTATCTTCCTTTTTAGCGAATTTCCCATATAGGGAATAAGCAATTACCGTAGGTCTCATGGTAAGACCTAGACCCGGGACCGATTTACTTTTTCGTTTTGAGGTCCCCAGAGGCCAAAAACACCATCCGTTCAAATTCATATATATATATATATATATATATATATATATATGTGTGTGTGTGTGTGTGTGTCCGTTAGCGCGATAACTCGAGCAAAATTGATCCGATTTTGATTAAATTCGGTACAAACGTGTAAACCTACATTTATTCGAACGAGTTCGCGAACCAGCATAATCGGACCATGGGATCAGGGGTTTATGGGGGGTTTATGGGGTAAAAATGGGGTTTTCTCATTTTTGACCCTAAAAACTTAAAATTTCTAAATTTCTCTCTAGACCATTTTGAAGAGCTTAAAAAAACAAATAATTTAGTATATTGAAGTGTTTTTGAATGTTCATTGACTACGGAGAAAATTAAAAAATTGTAAATTTAAAATTCCCATGTTATTCTTATGGAGAATAAATAAACTGTTCTAGTTTGCTTGTTTATGGATATAGTTTAATCAAATTTGGCAATTTGGTTTATTTCATACTAAGCTATCAATATTTCAATTGAAAAAACACATCTCTACATCTTCCCCGTAGCAGCAAACCTAACTACTTACTAAAATTAATGTTATTTAAATAGGAAATAAATCTGAAAATTTATAGGGAATATTTTAGTAGAAATCAAGCCGGGTAAATGGAAATTCGCTTAGGATGCAGGTTTGCTGCGACGGGGGTATTTGGATGTTTTCTGTGTTTCAGGTTTCGTGTGTTTATGTTTTATGTTTTGTGTATGTGTGCTCCTCTATGTATTCTTTTGTTGAGTCGTACGGCCTTGCAGTTAGGTACAATTTTAATTTTTTTCCAAAATTGGGTTTGTTTGATTTTGGATGTTTGAGTAATTGAGAATTATGGGTAAAAATTGGGTTATTGTAGAACATTGATCCAGAGTAGTACCTTTGTAGTACTTAATCCGAAAAGTCGAATTATGTCGCACCTGTGGGGTATTTTATGCTTTCTACACTAAGTATATATGAGCCTGAGAAAAGAATTCAATGCGCTCTTGAAGTCAGATTTTGATTAAATTCGGTATGTAGGTACTAATCCATTGAATCTCCAGGTGTTTTTTTCACTTTATTTGAAATTTCGATTTTAATGATTATTTTTTCATATAACCCATAAAATAACATAAAATTGTTTTTTTTTTTTTAACGCCGGTTTTGATTAAAATTCGTATGTTATGTCCCTTATAATTCTATACAATGAAGTGCAACCCATCATTGTTGTAAAAACTACGGTTCAAAGGTTATTGCAACTTTTGTGATTTTCTCTAAAAAATATTATAGGTAAACTCCAACACCTTACACATGATAAAGGTTGTTCACAAGCTAATGGGAAAAAAGTATGTGTCAGATTGCAGATACTGTTTATTTTGAATTTTACTTCTCATTGCCACACAGCCCATTGCTAATTCATTGTTGGACAAGCTCATCGCAATATAAAATATAGTATACATTAGTGCGCTTTAGTTCTAATTTACAGAATTATTCTTCATAGTTTTGGAACCTTTAGTAAAGTTAAAAATGCTTTATGAACAATCCGACCAACCCTTTACTCTACCTAATGTTTATGATTAAATCTCATCCCTCCTCAACCCACTAATTGTGAAAATTTGGTGATACTGAATAAATTTTTATATTCTATTATCTGTTACGAGAAACAATATACAATTTTATCTGACCAACGCGGTTTAGGTAGAAAAGAGCTTGTTGGATTTTTGTATTCAGCAAATCGATCCCTAATCCCTAAATATTTTTAAATATTTTTACTGGTATATTGGGTATCAATTTAAAGCTCTAATCCTCTAGATGTGCCTTTTGTGGGGTTGGATGATATTCCTTGAAAGCTTCGCCCAATAGGCGTTTGTGTGTGTGCTAAATTCCATTGTCGATCATCTGAACTTTTTCAAGTTTACATTTGTTTACATCAAAACATGTGGCCATGATACAAATTTGTTTACATTCATACGAAAATGGCCAATTACCTTAGTTAATGAATTCAAGTAAAATTTTGTAATGTTATTTGTATAAAATGTGAAAAAGAAAATTACTTTTGTAATATTTTGTGTGTTGATAGGATTTGCAATAGAACATTGTGAAATAATTCAAATAGACCGCGGATTTTGGAGTCACAAAGTGACGCTGGCTGCTAGTACGCGTTGATGTGATTTTGGCATGGAAACTGGTTTAATTTCAAAGCCTTTGGTTGTGCATCAATACCCAGACGAAGCCATTGTAGGCGGAGGTTTGACAGGTGTTCCAAATCTCCAGACCATGAAGCCACATCCCAACACATTTAGACTTTTCATCCTTTGTTATTGTTCTGTCTGAAGTTCATAGTCAGAGGCTACTGTATTTGTGTACTCCACTACCACCTATTGAACGCGAAGACCTTATGGATCAGAATAAGACGATTTTGAGGTATGTTTCTCTCAAAGTTTATTGTTGTTTAACCAAATTGTTAAGAACACTTTTAAACACAATTGAATAGTGTCAGTAGACTCATGATGATATCGTGTTTGAAAATAATGACAATTTAAACCCCAAGCCTGGTACGAGTTTCCATTTCAACTCACGTGTTATACAGTGAGGAACGAAGTAGGTGTAAAAAATGTTATTTGTTAAACTACCTACTAAAGTTTGATGACAAAACATAATTTGGAGAAAGTATTGTTTTCGTCAAAATTTTCGAGTTTGAGTTTTCTTGCAGTGTTCTTGTTCTTCTCCACACTTCATTAGCTATGTTGCGTGCGCGTGACTTAGTTAGCCCCGTTCTCACGGGTCATCAGAGAGTCGCTTTCAAAATCTCAGCCACCTGCCGCCGCTGTGGGGCTTCCTCCTTTCAAAATCAAAACAGATATCGTCTTACTACTTGATATGCCTACACCATGCCGTAAATACGTCCAGGAGTTTAGAGTGCCGTTTCGGTAAAAATAAAGATATGGATTTTGTGTTAAAAAGTACAACTTACGAAATACTGAAGTATATTTTATGCCTTTAGTGACTTTTCGAAACGAATGCTATGGCACCTAGGAGGATTATGGCACCAGAGAAAACGGGGTTATTTTTTCTTGGAGACCGTCCTGTCCCTTTTCGGGAAATTTAAAAGAATATGATCAGTAATTCGTCACAACGATCAGTATAGCTAAAAGGTTTTTAACAAGTTTACATTAACAAGTTTAAAAGCAACTATTTTGCTACCAAGAACACTATGAAATGTTAGATTTTCATAATAGTTTTTCAGACTAATAAAACCCTACTATATTTTACAAAATTCCTGTTTTTTCGCTAGGCTTCGTTAAGTGTATCAAGGAGTATCGAATCCACGAAGATAGCCAAAGGTTCTACATCCTATATATATTAACCTAATATATATAGTATCTTTGTACAGTTTTATCTGTTTAATGATCGTGTAGCCTACTCTACCAACTGTGGCGTATCCAGGGGGGGCTAGGGGTGTGGACCCCCCCTTCTTGGCCTTATAACGTGATTTTTACACTCGAGGTAAAATTTTCAAACATTTTCCAGGGGTGACCCTCCTTCCCTGTGGGGAATACCCCCATGCCACCCTTCCCTGTGGGGTATACCCCCAGGCCCCCCGGTGTACCCCCCCCCCCCTTGGGACTATCCTAGTTACGCCTATGTCTACCAATACAGTTAATTATATCCGATAGTCCTATGCACCTGGGTTCGACGGCTCAACACAATAGTTCATTAGTGTTTTCTCTCACCCCTCCCACTCATGCAATCGAGGCGATTAATTAACCCTTGCGTAGAAACCATGGTAGAAACCCGTCTATTAGGTGAAATACCCTGTTGCAGCAAATCTGCCTTCTTTGCTATTATTTTCCAACTTTATTATTCAAAAAGCTAAGACAACACCTTTTTGGCTAGAAAGATGATAGAACTTATACCACCACGGAGACGGAATATTTGCTGTGATGTTGCATTACTTTTCTTTTCCCTAGATTCATAACAATGTAGACGCTTAAAAATATTGTGGATAAATATTGTACATAATGAATATACTGTAGTATAAAAAATGGGTGAAGAAGTTGTTTGAAAGTCACGTGTGCCGTCAAATCAGTTGACTGTCTTTTTGACACCGTAAGAAAAAAGCACGTAATGATTGAACAATATTAACCAACAAGTTAACCTTCAGAATCCATACTTACCAAATAAATCCCGAGTATGTATGTACAAATATTAATGTATAACAGTATGTATGAAACCCGGCAACTGTAAGGATTGATTGAGACTAAATCAAATAATATGAAGATCAACTTTATTTTGTATAGGGAAATTTGTCAAGAATAAGCCTTCGTATTGGAATAATCCATTTACTGTGTTATATTAGGCACATATATATAATTTTAATCAGCATTATTTGATTTTCAATACAAATAAAATTACCTTGTCAAAACATTTACACAAATACAAACACAACAGAAAGAAAGCGGGCTAATAAGTTGACGGTTTGTTTGCGGGGGCGCATGTCACATATTTCCACCAAAGCGACAGTTTAAACGCGGGATCACCTCGATTGGTAGCACTGCTTCCTGTCACCGCGGGCGCTCCTAGCGGATGTTGCCGGCAGCGCTGAGATTGGTCAGATTTCCTGCGACCTCCGCGCAAACGACAATATGCGTGACCAATTTGTATTTGACATAGCTATGTGACGCGTTCGTTTTCGTGTGATGTAGTGAGTGTGTTGAACATACCAGATGCCTTTTGGATATAGCATTTTCTCAGGTAATTCTTTAGATTGAAATACCGGCGAATAATTTTGCATTAGCTTTGAGCGTATGATTTGAATATGTTTACAATGTTATGCAAATATAGATATCGAATACGCAATTGTAATATGTTTGTACTGTTAGATTTTGTTGTTGTTGCTGCTAAATTTTGCTTTACATGTCAATAGAGAAGTACAGAAGTCTATTACGGTTATCAATACTTAAATAACATACAAAATAAAACATCGTGTACAAAACTTTGCAAACAAATTGTACGATATTCAATGTTATGTTTGGTTGTAATAGATTACCGTATAAGATCTCGTGAGTTATTCGCCCCCATTGTATTTAATACCACAAGTAATTTAAATAATAAAACTAAATTAGATAGGTACCGAGTTAATTTTTATCTGTTCTTTGAAATATACTGTTAAAATAGTGATTTATTTTCTTGCATTCTCATTGTATACTTGCAAACCATATCCATCGATGTATATAACCTAACATTAGGTTATATACATCGATGACAATACCATAGAGCAGTAACTGTAAATCAAATCACGTCAAATAAATAATCTCTACTATCCAAATACTAGTAAACATGAATTGTGACTCTAATCTATGATTTTGTCAAGTCAACAATTAAACGTATACATTAGACATATTTATAGCACTTATTAATTAAGCTATCTACGTACGGTATGCACAATAAAGTGGAGTGGTTATCATATCTGTAGAAACTCTTTAGAGGTTCATTGGAACTTCCATGCAAATTTCTGGGCTTTTATAGCTTGTAGTTTTTTAGATATATGGTGATAAGTGAGTCAGTGACTTGAACGATGGAAAATGAGGCTTGTCATTGACCTCATATTGATGAAATGTCGACATTTCTGTTCGTCAATTAAAGCATTGTCTTCCACATTGGACGCACTCTTTCGAACTTTGAGTGTGTACGTAGTACAAATACACAAAAAGTATACTTTTTTAAACTACTTTTCACACCTTAGATCAATAAATTGTGCAACTTAAAGAAAATTGTATACATACTCATTCATTTTCCAAATGGTAATTTTGACTACTATACCATAACATAGTTTGAACGACAACACTTACTTTAAACGCGTTCATATCTATTATTTAATAAATTTTAGTTAAGCCTATACGTTTATTTTTTATTAGATTTCTATAAAGAACTAGCTGAACCCGGCAGACGTTGTCTTGCCTTTGACTATTTATAATCCCGCGGGCTTTGCCCCGTTTAACTTCTTAATTTTCAAGATGATCTCGTTCGCATGGCTCAATCACGTCCTGGTTGAAGTTCGTTCGCTACGCTCACTCACCTTTGGGTTGGAGCTCGTTCGCTACGCTCACTCACCTTTAGGTTGGAGCTCGTTCGCTGCGCTCACTTGCCTTCAGGTTAGCTCGTTCGCTACGCTAACTCGCCTCCAGGTTGAAGTTCGTTCGCTACGCTCACTCACCTTTTGGTTGCAAATTAGCTGTTGTCATAAATGTAAAAGAAATAATAGTGCTGCACCCTGTTGGTAATCCTTGTAACTTTAATGCTATTGAACATCATAGAACAGAACCAACTTGTTTAATTGAAACAGCTGTTAAGATTCATTAATTCCATTTCTCATAAGGTTAACATGGGAAACTCCAGAGCCACTGGGGCGGAGCCGATTGGACGGATCACGAAATTGATGGTGTATAAACCTATTCCATGACATTCTACACGTATGTACCAAGTTTCGTGGCAATCGGTTCAGCGGTGTCTGAGTTTATCACTCCACTACAAGTTTATCACTGTGAGTTTATCACTGCCAAACAAACAAACAAATATATATACAAACATCCTCTTTTATACTTATAGATATGCGTATGCAGTATTTATGTATTCATAAACAATGGCATTTGAAAAATACTGTAAGACAAAAACATAACATTTTGTTCTGGCTATTTCAATTTGAAATATACAAGGTACTTTGTTACAACAACTTGGAACTTGTATTCAATGTAGGTGTGAATTAAAACTTCCGGAGAAGCCAGAATACAGGGGTGAGCGTAGTAGACGATACTTAATAACAGCTGACAGAAACAGATGTTTTCCGTCATAGACAGCTGATTCCGTGGGAACACATGGCTACAGGTTTGTTTGTGTTTTACTAAACTGACCTTAGTTGTTTTTGAGAAGGGAGATAAACGCTATGCTACAGTATGTTCTCAAGAAGTTTGAAAAATTGCCACATCTAATTACGTGCAACATATTGAGGTGTATTTGTTAAAAAATCTTTTTACTCTTTTATTTCAATCGAGTCATTAAATTTAGTAATAATGAGGCCAGTAACCGTTTCAATCAAACATAAAGCTTGAAGGATATTGTGTTACCCTACAACTTTACTTCAGACAATTTATAATATTAATTACAATTTAGTTTCAAAACGAGGTTTTAATCAGTTTAAAACTAATTTCTAACCCACTACAAATGTTAAAACGTGTTGGAAACATGTTATATCTTTAATAACGTGTTGACTGTTTCTTATATTTCAGAAATGTCATGATAACACTGATACAGTATTAACATAATGATATTAAACTAAATAATCTTTGCGTTTAGCTTTACGCATATATAACCGTAACAGAGTAACAGTAGACGCAGTTCTCGCCTGAATCTATATTTCCCTCGTGATAGATAACATAGACATAAGATAAGGTAGGTTCCAAAACCATGATGGGCCATTGCTTTGGTAATTGGCGTGATTTGAACCCAGAGCCTCTAAGACTGAATTACCGTGCTGAAACCAATATACCGCCCATTTCATTTCCAAAGACGCATGGCGCCTCTATTCTAAGTGCGCACTAATTATTTACAAAGAAAGGTTAGCACAAAAACTTGCCAATTACAAGCAAACATAATTGCGACTAATAGAGCAAAAGTCATTGTTTAAGTAAGTTTAAACAACTCCATGAAAATCCCAAAAACTAATTATAGCTTTTACCGACATCCTAATTGATCAGTCGAGGGCCTTAATTTTTCATCTCAGGTAACTCTAAATCCCATTTCACCGCAAAACCTCTTTACAGCCGGACGCTGGACCGTGAAGGATGACGTCTGCGCATGCTCCAAGATTGAGGGTTAGGATAATTAAATGGCTGCTGCGTGCGGAGTGTTCAGTTCATAACAACTGTTTACCTAATATCTAAGGCAGACTGATTACATGTTAGGGTCTGCCACGCAAGGTCAAGCAGTCGAGAATATTACTGGAGAACTAGGGAAAATGATTTGGTAGCTCTTGGACATATGATCTGGGGAATGACCCGGTGGAGACGTTACGTAAAGTAGAGCTTGGAGTGATTTCGAAAGGGCTTTGATATTTTATATGGATATCGTTGGACATGAATTCGACTACTTTTGCCTACCCTCACTAATAGTTGGGTACGTATGACAGTTTTGAAGCAAGTAACGTCAAATAAATTGGGTAATCCGTCAAAAACCTCGGTAACTAGTTTTAAAATTTAGTTATGAGTCACCACTTAAGTTTATAATCATTTGTGCACGCCACCGTGTCAACCTAGCTGAAAAAATTGTAGAAAACATGCTTACTTAGTAGCGATTACAGCATTTTCGGTTTCTTCCTTAACATTTCATATGGTCTCCAAGTAGTGGAGAACTGCCGGTTTTACCCCACTTTAGACACGTTTTTCCCATGTTATTCTTATGGGGATTATTTTTGGCCACCAAATCTAAAATCCTGATCTTTGCCTGCAAATCCTTATATAATTGTCAAACCTTATTTTTTACTTATTCTCTATATATATATTCGGTATTAAGCTAAAAAAAAGCTAATTATTTCATTTATTGACTCATACATGTGTATATGTATAGTAGTGTAAAAATGCTATTCACTGGATGTGCAGCAGGTGCAACCCCCAATTGTACCATAGCACCCCATCATGTGTACAGTTTATTGTGTATCTGTTTTGGTTTAAATATATATATTTCTATGTAATAACACTATTCAATGAACCAGGAGCATGTGCACCCCTCCAACTGTCCCATAGTATAGTAGTGTAAAAACGCTATTCACTGCAGGAGCAGGTGCAACCCCCAATTGTACCATAGCACCCCACCATGTGTACACAATATTTTACTCGATTGTTTTGGATTTAATGCACAATTGCTAGTACATCTACCATTCCCCTTTCCAGTTGATATATTATATTTCTATTTCAAAATCATGTATGTGCGAACTCGGCTCATGGCGTGGGTGTGCTCCCTTGGACATCCTTAGTGGAAATCCATGAGTTCTGGCTACTTGGGAACCCAAGCCATTTGACATACAATAAATCACCCTTTCTCCTAATTACCTTTTCTACTAAATACATGTCTTTATACTTGGTCTTTAACAACTCCTCTGTATAGAATCCTCCCCTGATTATATTACCATTTTCATCTTTCAAGATATAAGTCACAGGCTTTGTATTCTTAACTTCTGCTATTGTAAATAGTTCCCCTGTCCAATTTTGAGTATAATCTTTACTAAAAACATGTTTATACTTGGAAATCCTCACACTATCACCTACCTTATATCTTGGCTTTTTAACTTGCACTACTTTAGAAGTCCTTTCATGCAACCTCTCATGCACATATTTACTATTTTTAATATTCACTTGGTTAGGCTTTATACCTATAGATCTATATTATCACCTTATTATTATATTTTCGAATTAACTTTGGAAGTAAATCCAACCATTTATAACTTCCCTGAGCACTAAATTCCCTATATAACCAATTCTTTAAAGTTCTCTGAAACCTCTCCACAATTGCAGCCTTAGTTGTAGAAAAAGTGTGATAGTGATTAATATTTAATTGTTTCATTAGTTTGCTAAAATATTGATTAAAAAATTCTTTTCCATTGTCAGATTGAATGTTTTTAACCCCCTTTGGTAGAATGGTTTTAATGGCTTCTGTAACCACCAACCCTGTCTTATTCTTTAGTGGAGCAGCATAAGCTTTTT